CATGCTTCGCATCGGTACTCGAAACTTTTGCCCAAAGCTTTCACTAGGACGAAATCATTACTCTTGGGATCCCTCGAGGTCTCCATGTCAGCATGGTGGCCATTAATGCCTCCTAATGATGATTGTCTCCACGTTCTTCGACGATCCAGCCACTCATTAACAATCTGTCAAACCAATCAAAACCCACATTAATGAGTTGCAAGGTCTCATTTACTGTTAGGTCCCGAAGGGTGCACTCGGCCCTATTTGTCATAATTTCTCAAATCCTCTTTTCAGTGAGTCGTGTGGGTTCTGACAACTGTGGGTATCCACGTGTCGATTTTCTATTGGCGAGCCGCCTAATGTCCTGTCATTTACCATTTAACTTCGTAATTATGTTCACAACTATAAAAAATCTCTCATTCCTATTAAAATTTTTAACAAGGTAAAGAATTAATGACAGGGGTGTCCATGGGCCAGGCCGAGTCTAGGCAGTGTAGACTCAAGCCCGTATCTAAGTAAATTATCAGGTAGGGGTAGACTACAAGCAGCCCAACCCGAGAGCCTATTGAGCGGGCCTGTGGGCGGGCCTACTCGCAGGCTTTTTTATATATAACTTTATTTAAAAAGAATGAATATTTTTGTAATTTAATATTTATGTAAATTATATTTTTGAATCAAAAGTAGAGTCAAAATAGATAAAAATAAAATAATTAATAATTTTATTTTTGATTAAGGGATGAACTACATCTAATAAAATGAATACATCACAACTAGGTTAATATCTACTTACTTATCCATAATTTGCATTACTTTACTCTTTAAAACGTGTATGCTTAATACATGAAAAAGAAAATAATACATTATTTATAGTATCTAAATTTTTAAAATTTTAAATTCTGATATTAGGAGACTTATTTCAAAGTTTCAAATTTAATGCTCTAAAAGTATAACTTTTTTTCAAAGGAAGGGTGGGTGGGCTATAGGGCCGAGTTTTTTCGGGCGAGCTATTGGGTCGGGTAATAGATTTGGGGGCAAACCTAAGCCCTCATTTTAAGAATATTGGGCTCGGGCTGACCAACTATCGGACCTATCGAATTTTTGACCTATTTTTTTGGCTGGATAACGAGATTTATGGGTAACCCGACCATGGACACCCCTAATTAACGATAAAGCTGGTGCCTTGCCTTTGCTTTTGAACGTGGCACATTCTGCATCATTATGATAATCTTTTGTTGCCAAAACCTTTTTGGATACCGACAAGGCCATTTGGTGTACCACAGACAAATCCATCTATCTAACTACTCTTTTGTCACACTGGATTAATACTTGTGAACCCCATAGGTAGGGATGACAATGGACCGAAGCAAGGGCGGAGGGTGTAGTCTCTATTCCTGTACCCACTTAAAAAAATTTCGTCTATCCCCAGTCCACTCCCGTTAATGGATACGATTTTCATCCCCATCCCCTGCCTTCACCTCCACCCCCACCGTTGTCCACCTTACCCATCCAAGCCCAAGCCCAAGCTCAAGCCAACATAATCCAAAATTCTAAATAAATCTAACATTATAAATAATCCAACATAATTATAGAATATAATAACATAATTAAAAGTTTATCATTTACAACATAATATAATTAAAACCTTATCTACAATATAATCCAACATAATATAATTAAAAGTTTGTCTTTCTTGCAAATCCAACACAATATCATGCAACACAATATAATATAACATAACATAATCCAATATTAAAAAATATAAAAGCATAAAGATCTACGCTTTTTACTAGTCAAAGCCATTAAAAAAATCAAAAAATAAAACAATTTTCAAAAGAAAAAATCAGTCAATAATATGTAGATTTGTATTCACAGCAATATGTATAAATCTAATACTATGAACAAAAATGAGGAGATCACCAAGACCATTACTAAGATGGCAAAGTCCAGACTAGCCTTGCAAGCACTGTCAGAGAACCGTCCAGGCGAACTTGGAAAGAAAAACTAAAGGCATCTTAACCAGAGGCCATAACAGTTCCAAAAATTTGTGGGTTGGTTGTTTTAGTGTAAACATTCTTGGTTTTCTCTTTTCGATATTTTTGTTCCCTCTCAACAATAGCAGAACTTGGATGTTCTTTTCTTTTCTGTAATAATGTTAACTCTACCATAGTTTTACCAATGGTGGCTTATTTATTCATACGTGCTCTTCAGTAATCTGAAATCTTGTGTTTCATGAGTCATATAGGGTGTTCAAATCGTGACTATGTATTTAACCAACCAAAACAATTAGAAAGAGAGCATTAACAATATATATATATATATATATATATATATATATATATAACGAGTAAAGCAGGGAGGGGAGGGGGGGGCGCAGGTGGAGGTAGAGGCAGAGGCGGGGTGGGGGTAAGTGTCAGTCCATTCCCGCCTTCATTCCCGCATGGGTTTACACGGGTATTCCTGTATATGTCCACCGTCTAATACGTATTGTCCATCCTCGATCCAAATGGGACGGGTTTGGACAAATACTCATTTTTACCCAACCCACTACTATCCCTACCCATAGGTGTGTTTGGATGCCTCGAAAGGATTGGATATGATATCTAATTTGTGTCCATTCCTATGCATGCCTAATCCAATCACCCACTTGCATGGGTTGGATGTAATGTCATATCCTGTCCTATTCAATGTTTGGCAAGTAATTTTTCATTTCTGTGGGCCTCAAAAGCATGAGTTGTTATTTGATTATTCTATCCTTAACCTATCCAATCCAACCTCTTGTTTGGATTACAAATTTGACTAAAACTCGTCCTAACAAATATATATATATATATGATTTATCTATAATATAAAACATGGTAGGTTTTAATAAGCTCATCCAACAGTCTCAAATAGATTCATCTAACAGCCACCAACATCTTTCCCAAAATCATTTATATTATACCGTGCCTGAACATTTACATTGCATCGTGTCTTTAGATACGAGTTACCCCTAGTATATATATACCAACTCAGAAAAATAGGGAAAAAAAATACCAACACAAGAAAATAGATAAAAAGAAAAATACGTAGGCCATCACATTGTTTCCCGTTACAGATGCTCCAATTTAGACACCCTCTGGCGAACTAGTGACAGAATTGCTATAAAAAATTCCTAAAACATTTTTTATCAACAATACAAAATTATCTTCTTTGTTGGTCTTCTAAAATCAGAAACAATAACCGAAGTATTTTTCAATATCACCCTAGTAAGATCGATAGTGGTGCCAATCATTTCTTGAGGTAGAGCTCAAGTTGGTCTCCCCATGGAATCACCAATGAAGATGTTGACGAATCAAACCAAAGCTCTCAAGTTGACGTGTTTTCTGTTAATGATTTTTTAGGGGAAGTTTGTTTATTTTCTCTATCAATGGTGGAGTTGCAGGACACAGAAAGAGGGGTTAGAGTTTTGCACAAAAACTAGAGGTAAAAACAAGAAAAAGATAGGGGCAGAATGGTAATTGTAAAACCAATCATATCTGGTAGAATTTTAACCCACCACCTAAGTGGGTTATAAATAAGGGAAATTTGGAGGACGGTCCCCTATATGAATTTGTTTGGACTTAAGTCTGTCAATAAAACTTATTTGTTATGAAGTCTATTTTTTGTCAATTTTACCATACTATCTCTTCCCTTTAGAAGTGAAATAAAACTAAAAATTAAAAAATCCTAAATTTTAGGAGTTTGACTAACATTAAAAAAATTTTTCTCACATATATATCTATATATATATATATATATATATATATATATATATATAAGAATGACTTTTACTTTTCACTTCAAAATAACTTTTTTCTCTTTCAAAAAGACTTTTACTTTTCGCAGTTCAAATCGCTTTAAATTTTATTTTAAAGTTAATCTAACGGCTAATATTAACACTCTAAATTTAATAGGAAAATAGGTTTTTAAGGGTGTGTTTGGAGTGACTTTTTAAAAGTACTTCTACGAATTATTTCTCAAAAGTACTTTAAAAAAAATTAAGTTTGAAACTACCCCACCACTAACTCTACCACCCCCCCTCCGGCCGCCGTCGCCGCCGCCACCACTGCCACCGCCACCATCCCATCACCATCATCGCCGCTATCGTCTCTGCCACAACCACCACCACCCCCCATTGCCGTCATCGGCACCGCCACCACGGTCATTGTCACCCACCACAACCATTACCGTCTCCTATCACAACCACTATCGCCCATCACCTCTCACCCCCACTACAACCGATGTTTAAATTCATTTATCTCTCCTCTATATTTGTGATTTGATTTTGAATATTAATACAAATATGTTTATTGTTTATCATATTTTATTACTTTGTGCCTTCAAGCACAGACAACAACTAGTATATATATAGTAACATTAAAAATAAAAAATAGTAACATTCAAAAACAAAAAAAAACAAAAAAGTTGTTATTTGGACACAAAAAAATAATACATTTAAACAAAAAAAAATAGTAACATTTAAACATAAATAAATTGAAACATTCAATATTAATATTTTTAAAAAATAACAACAGTAACATGTTTAACAAAAATATTAACATATTCAACAACAATAGTAACATTCTTAACAAAAACTGTAACATACATAACAATAATTATTTCTCTCAAATTCAAACGCAAAAAATAGGTACCATTCAAATACAAAAAATAGTAATATTTTAAAAAAAATTAGTAATATTGAATATTAATATTTAGTAAAATAATAATAGTAACATGCTTAACAAAAACAGTAATATACTCAAAATAATAGTAACATGAACAGTAACATACTCAACAAAAGCAGTAACATGAATAATAACATAATAAAAAAAATAGTAACATGAATTTGAATTTTACTATTCCAATTCATAGTAACATGCTGATGTAAATAAATATTGCACAAAGTTTACCCCAAAAGATGGTAAAAAAGAGAGCGACGAGAATGAAAAATAACACTAAATTTGAAATCGAACATTTTTTTTTACCCTTGTAAATTGTCTTCAGGGATAGTAACCAGTGAATGTGAATCCCCTTCCCACAATCTCACCAACACAATACCATGCAAAGCACTCCAGCCCAAACAAAGCAGCAATGTCAGCATCCTCAACCTTCAGTTCCTGCCTGTTCTTCCACACGTGCTTCACGTAATCAACTTCCTTCCAAAATGACTCACACTGACCAGGAATGCTAGTAAGAATAGTGTAAAGCAACTGCTTGCCCAACAAGTTGCATTTCTCCACAGTGGGTGGTTTCTCGATGTATTGCTTGTGTTTGTTCCAACATCAGTTTATAGTAGCCAGTATCATACTTTTGCCACAAATTGTGAAGCTTGGCATGCCTTGGATTGTAGTTGCTGCAACTTTGACGCCTCGACTCCAAAATAATGCCTTTTGTGTTCTGTGAAAGAAGGTTTTGGTTGGTGAAAGCAAAGACGATGAGAGTCATTGCTTCTCTTACCGCCAAGCTTTGGTTTTATATATATATATATATATATATATATATATATATATATATATATATACTAGTCATAACCCGTACTTGAAGGTACAATAAAATATAAAATTCGAACGTTCAAAAAATCGATTCCACTATATTAAATTTTTTCAAAATATATTAACTAAAATTTAATTAAATATTAAATGATTAAATATATGATAGAAATTAGTGGTGTGATATTTTTACTAAAAAAATATATAAATGATTAAATATGTGATAGAAATAAGTAATGTGATTTGACGTTTGAGTCTGACAAATATATAATGGATAGGGTAAGTAATTGATGATGGTTTTGAGGAAAAAAATATGACTAGGATAAAATTCAAACACACTCTTATTTTATTTTATATATATATATATATATAGAGAGAGAGAGAGAGAGAGAGAGAATTTTGAATTTAAATTTTAAATTTATGATGTAGATTTTATTGGTATATTTTAATTGACATTGAATTAAGGAATAACAATTTTCAAAATAAAAAATTAATTTAACTTCTTTTTAAGAAAGAGTATTTTTGAAATAAAAAAAATATATTTAAACCATTATACATAATTTTAAATATGAACTTAACCCCTTATAATTTTTTTTGCATAACTTATTTTCAAACAAATATATGTATGGTGACTTACTTCTAAATTTTACTAAAGATAAGGTTTAAAAGCACTGTAGACTACGGGCCGCGAGTAAATCCTTTCCGGCTGTCCAACCTTCAAATTTACTTCATGATTGCCATAAATGGGTCCATTAGTTTTTTATCGCATCCTACATCTGATACCCCCATTAGCCCACAATCCAAACACCCTCTATGGCTTTGTGCGTGACCGACGCGACACGAGCACTGGCTTGCCGAGACGGCAGAGCCGCGGCGAACCTGAAACTCGTGTCGATGTTCGTTATCTTCTTCACGAGTGTCATCGGAATATCGTCGCCAGTGATGCTCGCGCGTTTATTTCAAGGAAAACCCGTCTACGATAAAGCAATTCTAATAATCAAGTGCTTCGCTGCCGGCGTAATTCTATCCACCTCACTCGTCCACGTACTTCCCGACGCATTCGACTCCCTCTCCGACTGTCAGGTGGCGTCGCACCACCCATGGAAAGACTTTCCGTTTTCAGGGCTTGTAACCCTAATCGGTGTTTTGACGGCGTTGCTCGTTGATTTGACGGCGACTTCACATGTGGACAGTCACAGTCACAGCCATAGCCATGGCAACAAGGGGAGTAGTGAATATACGCCGATTGGGACACATGAGGGATTGGGGACGGCGTGTAAGAAATCGGCGGAGACAGAAGTGGAATTGGTGGTCGACGACCGGCAATCGGAAGAACTGGTGAAGTTAAAGCAGAGGCTGGTGTCGCAGGTGTTGGAGATAGGGATTATATTTCACTCGGTGATCATAGGGGTGACGATGGGGATGTCTCAGAATCAGTGTACGATCAGGCCGCTAGTTGCTGCTCTGGCGTTCCATCAGATCTTCGAAGGGATGGGTCTCGGAGGTTGCATTGCTCAGGTAAAGTAAAACACTGGCTCATAATTAATTGTGATTTAGTGTTATTCACCGATATGGTGCTTTTGGGAGTAGAGTGTATATTAGTAATAAGAGAGAGGATCAAGTTGGAATTAGGATCTTTCCATTATTTTAATAACTGATTATTTATGTGATTTGGTGAAGAATCGGTTCAAATATAATTAATATATTCCAGTTGAACACTTTAATTCATATTCTTAATATTGACACAGATGCTTGGAGGCAACCGCGGCGTACTGGTTAGTGAAGTTAATACCCAGCTAAAGGGGGTTTTGGCTTTGTGTATGGGTTTTGAGGAAGAGAGAGAAGGTGTGTTTTTTTTTTTTTTGTGGGGAGGGGGGGGTGGGGCGCTCAGTGGTATAGATTCTAGAATAGGAAGATAGTTTTCTTCTTCTTGCACCAAGAATAAGAAGAAGAAGAGCAGCCACGCCACGGGTTTCACTGCATTTTGTACTTCCTATTCATTGCAATTAGAGATGTTAGATTGAGAGTTAAAGAACAATCAGTGTCAATCAAAATTGCAGAGTATTGGACTAAAGATGCAAAATGCTGTTAGTAAGCAGCTCGTAAGAGAGGGCGTGGATATGGTTACATCATCCACCGTGTGGTGGTGGTGGTGGGAGAACCAATATATTCAACTAGGATTTGGTTGGTGTTGTTACACTAAGGAAATTGAAGGAATCCGGTAAGTAGATTTGAATCAATATAGCATAAGTCTGTATGAGCACTAGTGCGATGAAATGCACGTAAATGACCAAATGTGACTGATGTCCATTATCAAAAAATACAAAGTGACAACTTAAGTAGCAGAGTAGCATCTTCTGAACCAATTTAAGGTAAATATAAGAGACTTTAAGGAGTTCTAAATCCATGGATTTTACCCGTGGGGATAATACCTGGCCTAAGAGTTGCACTTTTCCAAGATGTTGTCAAGTTTAGTGAGCACCCAAGTAAGATACGGAGTTTAAGACACAAATTAGTAGTTAACTTACCCGCCTAAGCTTACAAGGCCATCCTTAGGACACATGCTTTTGAGTCCTGCCTATGGCATGTTGTAGAAAATGGCTTTTGAGTCCTGCCTATGGCATGTTGTAGAAAAAGTTAGTGATAGGCAGTCTTACCCTTTTTAGATAAACTGCTAATGTATAGTACTCCTATGTCTATTTAACCTATATCCAAGCTGTCAGTCAGTAACTTTTACGGGAAAAAAAAGGTTTGTACTGATATTTTTGTTTACCCCTTGTTTTTTTTTTTTGGGGGGGGGGGCCGGTGAAGATTAGTTCAACCTGTGTTGCCATCCAGTGCCTGATTTTAATGATCGATTGCCTGTTAATCCTATAGTTGAATTTGTGGTTGTCTATGGAAGTCATTTCATATTTTATCTATTAATTTTGTAATTGTAATTGGAACAATTGTAATGATGACAGGCGAGTTTCAGCTTTGGAACAACGGCCTACATGTGCTTTATGTTTTCAGTGACAACTCCAATGGGGATAGTGTTGGGAATGATTGTGTTCTCGGTGACTGGCTACAATGACAGCAGCCCTAATGCCTTGATTCTGGAAGGGTTGTTGGGGTCCCTATCGTCTGGTATTCTCATCTATATGGGTCTGGTAGATCTCATAGCTCTTGATTTCTTTCATAACAAGTTGATGGGTTCCCAACCATGGTTGAAAAAGGCATCTTTTATTGCCCTTGTCCTTGGCTCTACGTCAATGTCTATCCTTGCCCTTTGGGCGTGAAATTATGTCCCCAGTAACATCATCAAAATGGAAATCAGAAAAAAGGTTGCAATTCAAATTACCATGCCTATTGTTTTCCGTTCATGCTTAAGACAATGGCCTCATTTAGAAATTTCTTATAAGATCCTGTCAATCCTCCTAGCTTCAAGGAATGTAACTGAGGCCAGATGTCTGTTCTGAATTAAGGAAACTAGTGAGCTAGTTGAAGGTGCTAAAACTGTGATAAGATGAATGCAAATGATATCTAATAATCTTGATCTACGTTGCCTTGAAAATGTACAAAAGTTCCAAGAAAGCCTTTTATCATTAATCTAGAAAACATGCATGTTTTATAAGCTGTTACCACTTTAAAAGTGTTGTATTTTGGGTTCATAAATTCGAAAACACTCATGTATTTGTCATATCTTATTTGTTGATAGCTTTTACCTCAGCCCTGCAGTCTTTCTAAAGTACTATAATATCTCCTCAAAAAAAACGAAACTTGACTTTGAGAAAGAAGCTGCAAGGGTGCCAAACCGGCCGTTTTCTTGCTTGTTCACTGATTCCACTTCCACAAACTGGCACTGGTACCTATTTTAGTTCCAATTGTCATAATAGGGGTTTTGTCTGTGTTATTTAATGGGCCAACAAAAGTTGTAAAAGTATCCTTATCTTTTTTAAAAGAAAAGTCCTCACTCAATATAGACTCACTATCACGGTGGATCCACTTAACTTTCATGGCTTTCCTCCTCTTTTTGGGTGAATCTTTCTACTTTGTACTTGAGCAAATCAATAAAATCCATAATAAAAGCTGGAAAGGATGGGTTAAGTGGATAATGATGGGGATGTTGATCCTTTATGAGTCACTCTTCTTGGTCAGTGCGTGATATGTGATGTAACGTAGTTGAAGGCAATACACAACCCACCATGCTATATATTATTTTCTTTGTTTGTGCGCATTTAGATAACAAGAACTTTCATGAATGACTTTGAAGTCGCATAGTTGATATTTTTTTAGTAGCTGATTCATGGTGTAAAGTATGGAGACATACTGTTGAACGGTGGCTGGATCTGCAGTGTTAATTTTGTTTACTAATAACGCCATGGTATAAGGAATGAAAAACTGCATCATCTCCACTGAATGACACAACTTTCATGTCAGATTCTCAATTCTAAGGTGTTATGATCAATGATTCTCAAATATAGCTTGGTATCATACTTCTAGTCCATAAGCACTAGTTTGTTAATGAGTTGCGTCGCTTTTGGGATTCTTGTTATGTCTGTAGCATGTCAAAATTTACATGCATAACTCATTTGTAGTCATATATAATACAGTTTTTATACGGTCGGGTTCATACCATAACAATTTTAAGGTCCTTTGGTGGCTGATAGACTAAATTAAATTTATTAGTAAACAAGTCTACAGTGGAAAATATTTTGTAAAAAAGTCCTCCGTCGAGTTAGAAAGGTATGACTATCTTTTTAATATGCAACAGTTTCCTAATCCGGATTTGGAAGAAATAAAATAAAAATTAAATATATTTCAATTAAATCGGAGTATCCACTTTAAATTCGGCAAATCACAAACAAAACAACCGACGTCTTCCATTTATTACAACTGTTTAAATTTCTAAAGAGTATATAGTCAAGTCGTTCCAAAAAATCCGAACAAAAATATTGGGTTCTAAGATACGAAGCTTTGATGGTTGCGGTGGGTTATCAAAAATCAAGTTCTTGATCTTCCAAGTTGTGTGTGCTGCCAAAGTGAACACAATGCTTCAACTTCGGCAGTCACCGAGCAAAACAAACGAAAATTTGAAAAAAAAACTTCAATCAAAACGATAAATCACGTGAAGGTTGCAGTGGATTACGAAGATGAAGTTCTTGTCTCATTCTGATTTGGGTGTGCTGCCGGGGCGGCTCAAAACATTTTGAAATCTAAAGTGATAATATCGAATGAGGTCGTTTATTTTTAAAATTAATTTTTATTAAAAATTAATTTATTTTTTATTTATTATATGTGTGTGTGATAGAAGAATCAATGTTGTCGATAGAGATGTTTTAACTTTTATTTTTTATTTTTTACTAGAAGAGAGTAAATGTGAGATAAATATAATTTGACTTTTGAGTAAATTTTTTTTATGCGTTTAGTTTTTTTTTTTTTTTTACTTTTGATTTTTGAGTTTATAATATTATATGTTGAATCATGAGCCCAAATGATTGAAATTAAAATTTTTGATTGAACTTAAATTTTTTGAGCGGACTTAAAATTTTTGTAAAATTAAATTTTTTATGTGAATTAATTATATAATTCAATTTGTGGGGCCTTCTCGAATTATGGGCTTAAAGCCCAAGTTTTATCTACAATGATGTTGGGGCGGCCCTGGTGTGCTGCCCAAGAGACTGTCGGTATTCTACTGGAGAGTAGAACTGAAGAACAAGATTGACATTGAATTCAAACGGCGTTCGAAACTTTTTTTGTTCCGTGTAATTGCTTCTTAAAGCATTGAACACCACTATGATCACCTTTTATATGTTAAAACACTTAAAATTACGGATTTGCATCATAAAAAAATTTGCGGTAACATTGTATTAATTCACTTTTTAGTTGAATTATGAACCAACCTCTTATAATTTCAAAACCCTATTTTGTATTGTTGAATGTGGGTTTGTTTTCTAATTTTTTTTTTTGTAATTTAGGGTAAATCGTGTCTTTTTTTAAATTTCTGTTTGTAATTGTAGAATAATTAGAAATTTGGAATCTGTATTCTCAAACTATCATTACAACACTGTATTGATATACTGTAAATAGTTTAATTGTTAAACCCTAATTTGTATTGTTCATTATTGTTTTTTTATCATCTTGTTATTTGTTTTCCTTCACACTTTCCGTTTTCTTTGTTGCGACTCATTTGGATGAAAAGTATTTTGTGGCACAGAAGTTTCAATTGTGTCTAGTGGATTGTTGCTTCTAATTCAATGGTTAGGTTTTTGTGTTCTTGTTTTGGGGTTCTTCATCTTTATTTGAAAAATTGGGGATTCAATATGTACGAGTAAAATTAAAATGGATGCCGACACTATATTGATATATTTTGGAGGTTAACAATGCATTGTAACTTATTTCTCACTATATTTTAACATTGTATACACTGTATTGCAACACTATTCTGGTACATGAAAACACCATACAAAGTGGTGTCCTTAGATCAAAACGAAAACTAGAAAAAATATATATATAAACGGTAATGTATGTGCATAAGTGGGTAACCAACAAAAATAAACAATGTCTTAGAACAACACCATCCACTGTGGTGCTCTTATATCAAATATGAAAACTCTGTAAAAAAAAAATCTTTGGAATAACTACCAGTAGTATGAACAAAAAAATTAAACAAAATTGAATGTAGGCATAAATTCAAACCTGATAATGTTTGAATGTTGGAATATAAGAAGGATGTTATGTTTGAGCTTTTCCAAATAATAATAGCTGGTATTTTGGAGAAGAAGAAGAGAGATATTTTAATGTCAACAGTAATGAAAAACAAACTTTTAAAAATTGAAAATGGCTTAGATATACACAATCAACATTAGATGAAAATTTTTTGATAATATAATTCTTCCATTATATTAGGAAATCTTTAATACAATAAAACTGATGGTGTATGAATGTAGATGAGCATTGATGGTGTATAGATTTATTTGCTCTGTTGGATCTGAGTTACTATGCTCGTGTAAATGGTGTATTGGCTTTTTTGGAAATAAGGAACGCTTCACACAGTAAAATTATAGTGGTTCATCAGTTCGAGAGTTCGGCTAATCCACTCTAATAAGAGTTTCTTGCTCTTTTGATCTGTATTAATTGTGTGTGTGATTCACAGAGTGTTTTTGATACCACTAGAGTTACTTGCCTCGTATTGGAGGCATTGCACAATATTTATAGTCTAATTCCTAGTTCTATGGGATCTGTGGCAAGATTTTTGTCTTCCTCCAGTGGTGTCTTGCTTGATCCTAGGCGACGGTTGTGGTGGTTTGAGAATTTTGTGCCTAGATTGGGGCTTGTTGCCATTGGGGGGATGCCTCGTGAATGCCAGTTGTCCTCTACTTATCTACTTCAAGGTGTAGGTTGATGGAGTTTTAGATCTGGACCTCAGAACTTAGGCTCCATGAGTTGAGCTCCCTTCCTAACCTCAGCTCCTAGTCTCAGACTCAGAATTCTTTCTTAGTATCATCAATTACCCCCAGTCCCTGGTCAAAGTGGTCTTGAGCAGCGGCTGAGCTAAGGTTGGGTTGAGACAAACCTCCATATGGCGACCTCGATTTGCGCTTGAAGAGGTTTTTCTGACAGTTATGTGTAATCATTTTTGTCTCATTTTTTGCGCACATTTCACACTTCAAAGACCCACGTACCGTAAGCTTTAAATGCTTCTGAGAAGATGGAGACCGCCTCACTTCTCCTTTCGATTTCTCTTTTTAGGCTTTTCATTCTTCCTAGAGATTCTAGCTCCCCCAATTTGCTGGTGTTCTTAGGGCTCTGAAAAATTGGCTTTCCCTAATTTGACTCAATGGTCTTGCAAGGCTCGCTTTCTGATTTTGCTTTGGGCATTTGATTCGTCTCTCGTCCTCGATTAGGTACACTTCCTGGCTTTTAATCACTTCTTCATTCCGGATCACTCAAATCTGAGGTGGTTACTGAATTTTTGGACTTTTCATTTTTGTTACTTTAGGAATCGAGATCACTCACTGTCTACTCTTTCGCTTTTCTTGAATCCTTACTCTACTGCTAGAGTTTTCCTTGTTGGTCGTTAGTGTCTCGATCCTTCGACCCTTAGAGACTATTTTACAGAAGTCCTTCCTGTACAGATCTTTCAGGCTCCCTATCTCTTGTCCAACCATATGTGTTTCCTCTGAAGCTACGACCTCGTCTGTTTCCCTTCTGGGCAATAATTCTGCTGAAGACGTTGACCTGGGTGATGTGGGTGATGAGATAGACAACTTTCCTAGCGTCGATTCTATCGATGTCGAGGAAAATGCTGATGATCCTCCCTTCTCACCCTCTCCTATGCCTAAAAAATCCAACAAATGTAAGACCAAAGTGAGTGGCGTTGGGATTTAAGGCAGCACCGAAGGTGTTGAGGTCGTTCCTAGAGCTTTTGACCTTGTAGGTCGCAACGAGGTTACACCTCCTTATTTGGGAGTGCTATCTGCACGCTTTGATTTTCTTGGGGGTGTAAGATATTGGTGCCCAGACCAGGACGTTCGATATGATACCCCAATGCATAAGAAGGTCTGCTTCTTCGTAGCTGCTTTTGAGAACGGCCTTTAGTTTCCAATACACCCCCTTCTTTAAGAGCGTCCTGTAGTACTTTAACGTTTGCCCTACCCAACTTTCTCCCAATTTATGGAGTG